TTTTTTTTTTTGTTTTTTTTAATCAAGCCCTTTTGTATATATATATATATATATATATATATATATATATATATATATATATATATATATATATAGCTTTATTTCAACATCTGTATCATGTTTTAGTGGAGTAAATCACCTTGAACTGCCTTTTTGCTGAAATGTGCTATGCAAATAAACTTGACTTGACTCATCTATAATTCCTAGATGTTAAAAATCTTGTATCACTTATCTTTAAATCAGTTTGTGATCACTAATATATTTAATTATACTGCAAAAAAAAAATCTGTTTTAGAGTTTATAACAGGCGTTTACCTATACTTTTGATTTTTCTAAACTTCCACAGCATCTCTTTAATACAGTTGACCAAATCATGTTTTTTTTTTAAAATATGTTGATAGTTACATAACTTTTCCATTTAAATTGCAATGCATTTATCTATGCACACTAACTTTGCTGACTCATGGAAAATTGGACTGAATGAAAGGAATGAAATCATACTGATAAAGAATAGATATGGTTTTCACTTCACAAGGATGGTATGGAGATAATCTGCAAACCTCAATTTTCAAGTCGTGCCACTGATTCTCAATTGGATGCACGTCTGAGCTTTGATCGGACCACTGGAACGTGTGAACGTTATTCTCACCAAACCTTTTGGCTGCATGCTTAGAGTCGTTATCCTGCTGGAAAGTAAACCTCCACTACTCGTCTTGAGTCTTTTGCAGCCTCTGAACGTATTTCTTCCCCCAGGTTGACCTGTGTTAGCTTCATCCATCTTCCCAACAACTCTGAGATGTGCTGTTATATCCTTTTAAAGAAAAGCTTTCCCACAGCATGATTCTTTCACTAGCATGTTTTATTGTGGTGATTATGAATTATTTAGGTTATTTTGAAGTTTTGGTCTCTTTTGACCAGAATACCTTCTCAACAATTTGCTTTGTTGCTTGCATAGCTTTCAGCGAACAAGTGGTTTTCTTTTAGCAAATGTTGGTTGGTTTAAACTTTTTAGGGGTATCGGTGTAAAGGGGGCTAATACAAATGCAAAGCCACAGGTTTTAGTTTTTTATTTCCTAAAAAAATAATAAAAAAAACAAAACAAATAAAACCACCGCATTATTAGTCTTTCATTTTTCAATTACAGTATGCATTACTTTGTGTTGGGCTATCATCACAATAAATGATAAATGACCAAAATAAAGTGAACTGAACTACATTTTATGTATTTCTAATAGTAACATCAGGAAATTTGCTACAAAATTTGCCTTTTCTAGCATTCATGCAGGTCAGGTGTTTATGACCTGCAGGGGACATATAAACCTTTAGAGCAGGAAAAAGTTGCTGTTATGCAGCACACACTGCTAATGTGATCAAGTAAGCTGCATCTGAAAACAGAAAAAACATCTCCTTTATGAAATACTTCAGTGCGAAAAACAGAAGAAGAAACTAAAACACACAAAAATGAAACAGCAACAATCACTTTACTAATCATAAGGTAAACTGGCTTAAATTAGTAGTCAAGTGTTCAAGCTCTGTGATTTTAAAAGTCTGGATCAACTAGTGTTATTGTTGATAACGTTTAAAAGCGCTGCATAATACAGAATAAAAATCTATTCAGTTTTCTTACTACAAAGACAATCTTTCTATTAAAAAAAAACAATCATCTTCAGTCAAAATAATTACATAATGGATAACTACAACAGTACAACAATATAATAAAATCAACATATAAAAATAGTAAGCCTAAGAAATTATTAAAAATAATACAAAAGAAATTAGAAAAACAAAAATTGAATAAATAGAAAACTGATGCAGCTGGAAGTTTTCATTATTGCACAGAGCTCCTGTTCACCTGCACATCATATTTCTATGATACAGAAATGTCTCTCCCTTCTGCTTTTAAACCTTTGTATGCTCATGTGGTCTTTCAGTGCAGGATGGTGATGCTGCGGTCAGTCACAGCAAACGCCGGAAGCAGCGGAGCATTGAAGGGCTGAGTGACAGAGTACAGCACGGCGCCAGAGTCCGGCTCGTAGAACAGCAGCGTCTGGCTCAGCCAGTCCAGCAGCAGGCCGATCCGCTGGGGCCTCGTCACCACCTGCAGGGGAACCTTCTTCCCAGCGTGGCAGTAGGAATAGTCGCCATCATAGCGGCACAGCACCCACGACTCACTGTTGTAGCCTAGCCGCGCCTCGTTCCCAGAACCTTTACGCTCCAGAGAGGCGTAGCAGACCCCGACCTTAAAGGCGCCGCTCTTGCCGACGTCCACCACCCAGCTGTGGGTGCCGGAGGACATGGACAGAGATCCCAAAGCATTGGGCCAGGAGTCGAAGCGAGCCGGGTCGTACGGGGGAGACTGGCGGGGCTTCTTTTGGAGGAAGGTCAAAGTGCGTAGGTCTTCTGAGAGGGAGAGGAGTGGGCTGACTGTGCGCTCATCGAACTTTAGCAGAGGTGATCCATAAGCTGTGTTGAAAGGAACAGATGGGTCAGAATCCGGGCTGTTTCTAAACATAAAGCCAAACTAGTTCGCAAGATATGAATTATGTTCAGATTATGAGTATGTATATATGTAAACTTTTGTTAATTCACCTTTCCATTAAATGACAATGGAAATAGTCTACTATAAAGAAGAAATAATGTTCTATCATCGCTTTTCTATGTATGAGAGATCCTCACACACGTAATATCCAGCTACATCAATCTGACTTGAACTATTTGGACATTTGGAAATAATATTGAGGTTTAAAACTTAGAGATGCAACGAATATACCTCACATATAGTAGATAACACTTTTATAGATTTTAAGCAAATGCAACTCATAGCAAAACCCAAATTATAACATCACCTTATCTCATGATACCCTACGCAGACACTCTGTCTGCATTGAAGAGGGAATGAAGATTCACTCACCTCTAATGTATTCTGAGTTTAATTGAGGTTTTAATTACATAACGGTCAAAGAGCACTCATAGGCTTTGTATAGAGAACTGAACTTTCAGCCCAACGTGAAAAAAATAATAAAAAAAACCAACATGGTAATGTCACAGCAAAAACTAACCTACTCTGTCTTTATACAGTAGCACACGGCAAATTTTGGTAACACTTTATTTGAAGGGGGTTGAATAAGCCTGACATAACACCTGTCATAAACATGAATAAGCCTTCATGAATATTTATGACTGTTGTCATAAAGCGTCATTCGGTAAATTATGACTTTTAATACAAAGTTGACATTATTCAAAATGTCTTTGTTATGACAACTTGACATTAACCAAGAAATCATTACTGATATAAATTTGTTATAAAAGTATTACTGATTGCACTTTAAAAATTAGGTATCTTTATGTTATTGAAGGTAAAGTTTAAACAGTAATGATTTATTGGTTAATATCAAGTTGTCATAACAAAGACATTTTGAATAATGTCTACTACGTATTAAAAGTGTCATAATTTACCGAATGACGCTTTATGACAACAGTCATAAATATTCATGAAGGCTTATTCATGTTCATGACAAGTGTTATGTCATGTTTATGACAGTGTCATGACGGTCTTATTCAACCCCCTTCAAATAAAGTGTTACCCAAATTTTATACCTTCATCTTATTACACACACACAACTCAAAAACTGGAGGAACATTGTAATTGGTACAAATACTAGGATGTAATAGTACTTAGTGCTTCACAAATTGTCCTTAAGTTTAGACATTTTAACATTTGTGGCAAAATGAGAAACAGTATGTTAGTAGCTTCATATTTTAAAAGACGATGATTACTATATTTTTGTCATTTTTAATATTTTGATCAGTAATGGAGTTTTATGCTACTTTCTAAATTTAAGTTTCTACAGAAAAAATGACACAAAAAACAAAACAGGTACATTTAGCCATCTTGAACTATTAATTAAAAACATGGTTTGGCCGAATTTAGGACTAAACCTTGAGTCCTTCCTGACATTCAAATATATTTTAGGTATTCGAATATTTACCTTTACTATGTGAATTTACTATATACTGTTTACTCTGTTCACAAGTGGCAGCTAAGAAATTTGAACAGAATAATGTATTTTACAACAGTCAGAGCGTACAGTCGGCTTGCATGTTCCTGCTTAATCTCCAGGATGTAATTAAATATACAAACCGTTGGGCCCCAGCAGCAGAGCAGTCGTCCAGAGGCCCCTCAGCAGCTTACTGTCGATACAGGCTGGGTTCAAGTTGAGCTGGTCGGTGTCACAGGGCTTCCCGACCCCTTCAGCTTCCTCCACCCTAACACAAACGCACAGAAGCATCAGAAGTGAAGCAAAACCTCCAGTATCTCGTCAGTAAGAACAAATATTAGTCATATAAATAAAGTAGTACCTTTCAGCAATTTCTTGGACACTGGTCTGAAAAAAATGAGCCAGGAAGAAGGTGATTACTCTCAGAAGTTTATGACTCTTATCAGCCTGCAGTTATTTATGAACCTAAGACTTTCCCATCACCATCATAACCCCGTCATGTGTAAACACCCCTAGCCTCTCACCACCAGCTGTGCGTCGCCAGCGTGCGTCAGCGTGTGCACCAAGCGGGTGCGTGTTTGCGACAGACTCGTCAGAGCGTGGTTCCAGTGAGCTCTCTGGGTGAGGAGGCACTGCTCCACCCGCTCCTCCTCCCTCTGCACCTGCTCCAGGAGCCGCTGCTCCTCCTCCTCCAGGGCCTCGCGGGTGGCGGCGACCTGCGCGAGCACCTGCTCCCTCGCCCTGCTCGCCGACGCCTGGGTGAAGACACGGCAGAAGGTGTGGGAGGCGGATCCGGAGATTTCAGGATCAGTTATTTTTCCTTCTGACTGCATTAAAATTCCTTCTGGTTCGGATACATTTTTCAAAGTGCATTGCTAAAGTATTCACACAGCATGGACTTCTTGCAATGTATTTGATAAGTATTATATGTAGTCCATTTATTTTTACACTGTATAGCAAGTCAGCTTGAAGCTGCAAGATGACAACACCTCTCTAACTTGCAACACAGTGAGAATACGATTAAATAAACTTGACTGCAAATCTAAGGTTTTATGGTTCTAGACACAATAAACACTCTTATTAGGAGATTAATGCTATGACAGATGAAATGCAGTACATCACTACATAGTGCTTTATTTTCTTTCCAAGAACTGCAATTCATTCAAACTCATTTGTTAATATGCTGTCTTAGTAACTGCATTTAATGTGATGATTACGCTGTGTGATGCAATTGAAAAATAAATCTATTGAAGCAAGAAAGTTTAAATACACAAAAACGTTGCAATCATCTGGTTGCCTAAGTATGCACACCCTTGTAATAATGTGAAGGATCAAAAGTAATCTTTGCGTACAAAGAAATCCGTAAGAATTATTTTGTAATAATATAATGATATGTCTATTACATTAATGCCGTCTGAGGGATATCGTCTCATTTTCCAAGACAGATGCTTGCCAGTGAGGCTGCCGTACTAAAGAAATGACTAATTAACTAAGATGTATACAATTTCCAGATCAAAGAAAATAAAATATGTTTTATATAAAAAAATTAGAGGGAAACATCTGTTCTGACCCAATTAGTTAGCATAAAGAATGCATCACTTAACGCCTACTGATTAAGTAATGCATCACTAATTAACATGTGAGGTTTTGTTAAATTGGACAGGTTTTTTTTTATCTTGGTTTATAGATATTTGGCCTTTTTATTGTTGACATATCTTAAACAAATTTTCCAACTTTTATTAAGAGAATATTCAAAAGGGAACTTGTTGCACTACCTCTCATGTTTCTCTGTAATTAGTGGTTATATCATTAATTTCTGCTTCTTTCACTACAAAAATTATAGTGTCTCTTTTAACCCTGATAGGTAAGAACACAAAATGACGGACGGTAATAGACTTCTCCTTGAAGAGAAACATAACGCCTTTAATCACTCACTGAATAAACATGGGAATTTTCTGAAATCTCCACATCGTGATATTCTTTAAAAGAAAACCTATGGCCACATTTAAGTCAAACAATTTGCTCATAGGCAATCAGAAGAAGGAGGTGATGGTGGAAACAAACTAAAACATCTGAATTCACAGGTCTGAGTCTTCAATAACGTTGTAAAAGAATCTGTTTTGTTTTTTTTTTTTGTTTGCAAACTGGTCACCTATAAAACTGCACAAGCATGACGAGGGGCTCCCTCTAATGCGAAGTCTCATTATGTGCTTGCAGGTTAATAAGTACAAAGGGGGTCGCATTGGTTTTGTTGGAAGGTTATGACCAGGTCACCAAAATAACTACTACTATGCTGCACAAGTATTTATATCTCTTTGGCTTTTTCAACATTTTGCCACATTTCAACCATAAACTTCCATCAGTTGAGTTTGGATTTTATGTTATAGACCAACACAAAGTAGTGCACAAAGTTGAAAGAAACATCAGCTAAAATGCAGAAAAGAAAGGAATGCATTTGTATTTTGCACCTTTATCTACGGAAATGCCAGAGAGAAAAGATGAGGAGAGGTTTAAAGAAGGGTTATAAAGTTGTAACATGACAAAATGTTAAAAAGTCCAAGAGTTGCGCGCGTAACTGTACCAATGTATTATTTAATGCAACATCTTTAGGATTGTGTGAATATTTACAGCTACAAACACTTACTGTTGGAAAAGATATAAAGCAGGGTTCCACAATAATTTAAAAACAATCACCAAACATCAAACAAATTATAATTTTCATTCCAACAAGGTTTTATGGAAAAGCCTTTTTTGGACTAAATAACTATAGTTGCATTTTCTTAATGACTTGACCCTTTTACTGTCTGTTTCACACTATTATGTTGCAGTAAGCAACAGGTTTCACCAAATATTACAGGCACACAGAGTCTGAATGCATGTCACTTAAATAACGCACACTGATATTGTGTTACGAATAAACCCATACTACGAATAAACCCTAATGTTAAAACTAAAGATGCAACTATGTTACCTTTGAAATAAGATATTTGGAGTGAATGCTAAAGACACACACATTTGAAAGAAATTGCCAGGTGATTTTCCACCCTGCAAAACTGATGTATATTTTAAATTTAGACTTCTGCAGTAGGAGAGGAATTGGAAATATTACAACAGATGATTAATCAGTACTTGTACTGATGAGACCAACAGACAGCTATAGATTAGGTTGATTATTTTTATTGTCTGTGTGATGCAATTTGTCCATTTTCAGATGCTTCAATCCATCATATATCGTCTCAATTAAGAAATTTCTTAAACGGGTGATGTTGTGTATTTTCCCGACACGCACAGTCAAGTAAAAATGTTACCTTTAGTTGTTATATAAATGTATATATCAAACATAACTTGGAAAAAAAAAAATGACTTCACAATTTATCATCTTGAAACTGGCCTCTGTCTCTTTAAGAAGCTCCTACTCTTTCCGACACTCCGCCATTAGTACATCATCACAACAGTTCTTAGGAGCGCTGAAGTGAGAAGTAGTTCGTATGAAGAGCTGATTAAACTCGCAGTTTAATGAGGTGTTTGCTAATTGCTGCTGCCACTAGTCTAGGGGAGCTCTGCGGGAAAGACGTGGGGGAGGGATACTGTGTGGTGGAAGCTCGACTTGGGACTACAACTCCAAGGAGAAGCTTTGTGTAAAAATCCTGAATAGCTGCTGTGGGAGATTCAAGGAGTCCTCAACCATGCATGAAATAATCAAAGCAACACTCCAGGTATGTTTTTGATGAGGGGAAAACATTACGACATGATATAAAGCTTAAAAAAGTACACAAAGTCCCGCCAGCCCTTTAAAACATTGCACTAAACTGTTTTTAATCAGTACAAAACTATAGAATTATTGTAAATTAGGTGATTAAAATGGTTTCCAACCCTTTGAGAGGCCCTTGGATCCCAGTACATGTCTGTATAGATCAAGTGACTCAAGGGAAAAGCACTTTTAGGAAACACCTGCTTTTTAATTTCTAGCAGAACAGGCTCCACTTGTGGTATCAGCTCCAGGTTTCCCTGCGGGACCAACAGCATTCCTCACCTGCAGCTTTTGTTCTTTGGCCGTCAGTGTTTGCTGGATGAACTTCTCTATGCCCAGGGCCTGCAGCTGGATTTTTTCACACACATCCACCAGCTGGTTCTGGAGAAGAACAAACAAATCCACACACACATATGATTATTCAGTGTTTGGGCCTTTGGGTGACAATGCTGAACCAGGCGAGCTGGTAGGACAACAAGAAAATCCTGTCTTCTAAAATACCAGACACATCGGCAAAAGAAAGGCTGTACACACCCAGGAGAGAATTTAGGTAAATATTGACTTGGAAAATACACTTAATGTAGTTTCCATATTTTATCAGTGGTACTATCAGAATGTGATAAAAGTTTTAAACTTTGGAATGCAAATTACTTATTCGAATCGCTGTGAAAATAATGGGTTTCTTGACTAAAATGAAAGTAACATATATAGTTTCGCCGGAAAAAATAAATAAAATAAAAGCAGCTGTTGGAGACTAGTTTAAATTTGATTGGGAAGTCTTACCCTGACCACGCCGACTCTTCGGGCCAGCGGGGCCACGCTGTGATCCCGGCAGGGGCCCGCGTTGGCGCAGCGGGAACAAATGAGTTTCTGCTCGGTGGCGCAGAACCAGTCCAGATCGGAGTCGTGCTCCGCGCAGACTTCGCTTTCCACGGAGAAGATGCCGGACTCGGTGTCAGAGGCGGCGGACGTCAGTGAGGTAGCTCCCCCGCCGCTACCGCCGCAGGTGCTCTGATGGGACACGGCATTGTCCGCCTCCTCCTGCTTCGGCTGCTGCTCCTTCATGCCGCCGGTCAGCACAGAGAAAATGGGCTGCTCGGGATCAATTTTCAGGCATTTCACGGCATTTAAGGTCTCTACAGATGTAGTAGGAGACGAGCATGTTAAGTCACATTCGGTAAATCCCTCAGTCATGGCACAATAGGAGAACAGGTGCGCACCGGCAGAGCTGTAAAAGTCGCACCTATGCGGACCAGCGGCTGTGACACAGGTGTAACAGGTGAGCGGAACACGGAAGTGACACGGACTTGAGAGGTCAGAGCTGACGGCAAATCTTTCTGTCCCACCTGTTTTTTTTCTTTCTTTCTTTTTTTCTTGGGCGTCAGCTGTAACCGCCTTTAGAGTTTCAGAAACGCATATCAATGTTTTACAGTCAAAGAACAAACTCTTTAGTACATCTTCATGGTTTGATATCTCTGTTAAGCAGTGGACTTTACAACAAGGATTTTTTTTTACATCCACTAAAGTGGAAATTATGTTTAGCCATTCTTGTGTAACCAGTTCAAAATCCTTGTGATAATAGCATCTTGAGCTTTTTTGCTTACTGTTTTACATCTTGTCAGGTTAATCACTAACTTAAGAGTGCTTCTAATGGGATTTTCAGTGGTAAAACAACACAAGCTGTGCAAAGGAAAAGTCGAAAAAAGTAATCTTTGTTTATACCAGCCTTATACATCAGGCGACTGAACTTCAGGGGCTCCATCAATCTTTCTAACAACTCTTGTCAACATCCCCACTAAAGCAAAATATCCACATGGCATAATGCTGCCATCACCATGTTTCACAGAGGATGGTGGTGAGGTGCAGTGTTAGTTTTATGCCAAAACTTAACTTATGGTCTCATTAGAGCAGATAAACTTTTTCCACGTTTGTTGTATTTCTCTCTTCTTGGCTGCTTCTTTATGTTCACCTTGCAGTGTCTTAAGGTGGATGGCCATGTTTTGGTGGATGTACCATTGCCCCACACAGTCTCTGTTTTATAATGGATTGCTCCATGAGATGCTGAAAGCTTGGTGTGTTGTTTCATTGCCTACCTTTACCTGATTTTAAACCCCTTCATTGCTTTATCCCTGACTTGTTTGGTTTGAAACCTTGATCTTCATGATGGTGTTTAGCTCATAAATATAATATATATAATTCCAACCTCTAATACCTTCAAAAATAGCTGAATTTATGTTAAGATTAACCTGTTGGAGTGGTTAAATGTTATGTTTTGAAGGCAGTTGGTCACATTGGATTTTATTTAGGGTAATCAGAGTAAAGGAGGCTGAGTGAGTACACATGCTTACTAAACTTCCCAAGTTTTTTATTTTTCAAAACAATTTGAAAATAATGTTTTATATATGCACCATTTATGTTAAGAATTTATCACATTAGATTCCATAAAATACATTAAAATTCGTGTTTGTATCTTGGCAAATTGTGAAAAAGTTAAAACGGTGTGAATAACTTTGCAAGCCACTCTATGACAAACTCACAGAAATCCTCTTTACTTTAATAACTAGATATGCTGGCATGCAGTAAGAAATGCATAAACATGGAAAGTAGATTTATTTTCAACTCTGTTTACTTTGTCTTGATATTTGGGACTATTTGAAATTCGTATCTCAACCTCAAAAACGTTACATGGAAGAAGAAGAAAAAAGGGAAGCAAAAATAGCTCTGGATTGGCCATAAAATTCCCTTTCCTGCCGTGTGCATTGTTTTGCTCAAGGACAGTGACTTTAGATTTCTGCTATCCGTGCTTGATAAAAAATGCTCTGTTTGTTTCTCCTGGGCAGTAGATACAATAAGAGAACATCTTGTGATTTTATTGTATTTTTTTTCAAGGAGGATGAGTGTAATAGATACTTGGTTTCATCATGTAATGCGCAGGGATCAGTGATACAGCCACTCCTCGGAGACTGCTGGTTTGGAAATAGTTGAGCAACACTCTGGTCCATGGAAAGCTTCAAGGAATCTTAAAAATGAAAGGTGGCTTAAACACCCCAAACCACTGTTCTGTCAGCTGTTAGGAAAAAAAGTTTGATCTCTAAAACAAGTTAAAGATTTAACATCTAAAAATTATCAACAATGTTTATCATTCCCAGATTGGAATAAGACAATAAAAAAAGGACGTTTGAATACATCCAAGCTCAAAGCAGGTGAAAAAAGAGTTGAGGACAAGAGAACCATTGTTTGACCAACATGAATAAACTCTTGTGTACGCGTTAAAACCAGCAAAGACAGGGAAGTGTTACCCCTCAGGGGATGGTTAAGGGCTTTTGTCCACTGTGTGGAAGAAAGGATGCATGACTAAATGTAAAACATCCACAATAAACACAAGCAATAAACTCTGTTAGATTAACTTTCATGTTTCTCTTTTTACACACGTGATTATTTCTGTGCCAATTCCAAATCTCTACCAACTAGACGCAAAAACAATTGTTTAATTGATCTCAGAAATAAAGATAGCTAATAATTTGCATTGCTTAACTGATTTAAATTAATTATTGATTACACATGCCATTTAAAATTAGACAAAAACCTAAGTAAGATTTTATTTTAGGTTCTAAAATATGCTTTTATTTAACAATACCAAAATTAAAAGATCAAAGCTTTTTACTTTTGTTTATTTTAAAATATTATTTCAAGTAAAAAGAAAATATTTTAAAAAAAAATTTTGTCTTCAGTTCAACTGAAAACCCTATTCTGAAGCTGTAATACAGTTTGAAGTCAGTAGAGGGCGCTGACTGGTTTCACTGTTTCAAATGATCCCATTCTCGTCACCTGACAGATCATAAGAGCACGTGACGGGACTGGGCGCATCACGTCACTGGTATGAGGTGTTGAAAACTTTTTAAATAATGAATGAATCGTCATGAAGGGATTCCTTCTTTATGAGTGATCGAAAACAGCTCAGTGACTCATTCTCAGAGAATTCCTGATCAGTTAATTACTGCTCATTTGTTTTATTCAGTTACTATTTTAATATAAAAATACTTTAAGTACATTGACTTCAAATGAGAGACTGACACACACACACACACAGAAATTCCCTGCACGTAATTTTTTTATGAAACACAAGAAAAAAACAAACAAACATTGTGACATTTCAGTTGTATTTGTAGTCTTGATGCACATTATAAAGTTTATCTAAATACTGACCTTCCTTGAAGAGCTTGAGTGTATTGATTTTTCATGGAGGAAAAACAAGTAATATTAAATGCTGAATTGTTTTGTTGCAAGTTAACTGAAGAGTAGCACCAACACAGTTGACATATTATAAATATGTAACACATTTGTCAAAAATAGCATCCACAGTTTTCATTTATTACATTATTTATTGAAAATATCTAATATTCCTTCCTTCACACCTAGAAATTTTCATCATAGTGAACATCATTTTTTGTATGATTAGAGGAAAGTGAGAGACAGAGGACAAAAGGGGGAAATTTCAGATTCCTTAGTTCTCCATTTACTTTTTGTTGTATTTATTCTTTGGATTGCAAGACCTGAAAATGTGTTATAATTCATTAATTTGTCAAGAAACCCCTCCCGACCCCACTAGGGACAAGGGTGTACAGACAATGGATGGATAGATGAATGGATAGTTTGTCAAAAAATATTAGAGGTATATTAAAAAAGATTAGTCTTTTTTTTTTGTCCTGTCAAATGAGAAAAAAATATCATGGAACCCTCTTGGTCCTGTAAACAGTCCATAAGGTTTATTGCAAATGAGTATTGCCATTTATAGGGAAGCATTGATGTTACTAGCATCATTATTCAGCAGATTCAATAAACTAAAAATTGGACATAATTCATGTGACTATTCATCAAGAGTTTAATAGCCGTTAATCCTTTGTGACTGATCAAAACACTTACCAAGCTGAAACCTATATGTAAAAGTCACTTTGCGGAGTTAGTTAAAATGTATGGCAAAAAAAAATCTAAATATATTAGGGAGCTACATGTGTACTGAATTTTATATTAATTGTGAATTGTTTTTGTTTTTTTAATATGTATATGTATTTTACAGGAGTGCTTTGGAGCTAATTTTGTGCTGACCTTTTCAAGACCCTTAAATATATTTGTACCAGGTCTGATACCAATTTTTTCCTGAGTATTCATGTAAGTTCTGGCCTCTGAAAAGGCCAGCAGAAATATAAAGAGCATGTGACATTTAGTCTTTGTTATGGAAGAGGATTAGGGCCACAAATTCTCAGAATTATCAGAATTCTAGAATTCTGAGATTAAAGTCAGAATTCTGAGATTGAAGTTAATTAATTCTTTTATGTTTTTTTCAGTGGTCCTAACACTCTTCTGTATTTTGTACCACCTCCATTGAGTTCAAATAATAAAGTGTGAAAAAGACAGATACAGGCAGTATTCAAAGCCGTCAAACCAACAACAGTAGGATAGGAGTTGTATTAACTACATTAAGTACAGGAAACAGTTCAGCTAAACTGAACGTACACAGTTTATTTCTTGTGTAATTTACAGATTCTATGAATCCCGCTTTTATTCATTTGTCCTACCCCAAACAAACGCAATTTATAGTCAATTCCAGGCACCTTTTACTTGCTGAAAACTAACATCAGCAGCGCCAAAATAAGTATCTCGGGGATCAAGCCATCTGACATTTCGCGCGAAAATAAACGGATGTGATCACGAGAGTCCATGACGTAAAATTTTAAATGGGAGGTCACCCGTCTCTATTGTCTGACGTGATTGGACTGTGTGTAAGTAAAAGTCAATTTGATTGGTCTTTCTGATGAGTAGGTCTGGTTTCCTGCTAAACCCCGCCCCTCTCCCTCGACATCTCGCTCGGCTTCTTGCTCTCCAGCGGCCGTGTGTCACCGAGGCTGGGCTGCGGCCAGACGGAAGGCTGGAAAGCGTTACTTAGCCCAAAGGTGGTATCGCAGCGGGGCTGAGGGGCTGGCCCGTCCGGTTTTAACACCCGAATAAACCTCGCAGGTTGCATCTCACGGCCCACTGTGTCATCACTGTCCGTTCCCCTGATGTCGGATTTCAAGCTTGGGATCGTACGGCTCGGCCGTGTAGCCGGGAAGGTGAGCTGGATCCCAGTACTGCCATGTGCGGCCGGGGGAGGGCCCGCGGGGAACTCGGAAGACGTATCAAAAACCTCATTAATGCTGGCTAGTCGGTAGAAACAAAAGGCAGTAGTGATATCAATGCGGCTGTGTGTGCGGTAAACTGCCAGCTCTACCGTTTTATGCGCGTTTGAGCGGATTAGAAAAGCCGGCCGAGTCGGACTGCTGCTCTGAACTCTGCCGCTATCACGGATTCAAGCTAACACTAGCATATAGCTTTTTCATTGGGTCGCTTTTAGCAGGAA